TTCTAGTTTAATATTATACTATTGTTGAATGATTCTCTAATCTTTTTGAGTGATACAAGAGTGTATTGATCTTTTAGTTTTTTGAGATTTATATCTTTGACATCCATTGATCCTCCACTTGTAGTTATTCATGAGTTTGTAATCAATTTTTAATACTACTAAGATAAGATTGTTTGAGTGGATTTAGTGGATTTAGTGGATCCATTTGGAAGACCATAATTGCATAAGATAATCTAGACTATAGGTTGGTTTTTGCAATCTAATGGACATTGGCTTTTTTATTATAATTTTTTTTTATAGGACATTCACAACACAATAAAACTTTCTTATGAAACTTACAATTGAATTAGCATGCAAAATTTGGATGACTCTTTGTATTACCTCTTTCATGTATGGAAACCGATTGTTCATCTTATATAATGATTTCTTACTTTCTTCAACTTGTAATAAGTTTTATTCTTATATCAAAAGATGATTTGAGTAATTAGAGTCATTTTTTATGAAATAATTTGTGATTGATTGGAACCCCCCTATTAATGAATTGAAAAATATTGGAGTAATTTAATTGGGCTAGAATTCATACTCCATCCTTGTGTTTGTTATCTCAATAGAATCTTATTAGAGTAATAGATGGGAATTTATCAGCCACCTAGAATGCTATAGTAAGCTAGTCAAAAAACCACTGCTCTATCTTTAATATAATTTTTTTTACAAAGAGTAGATTTGTTATCATATCATTCTATTACATTCTAATCTATATTCATTACCTACCATTAATTTTTTGAGAAGGTGGCAAAGAACTTAAATCACATTTTTAGCCTCTCTTCTACCTTTAAGGACTTTATAGATATTCAAAACTATAACATCTCTTTTAGGCATATCTTTAAGATATATCCATTGACCATGTCTATATCAAGAATGACTAGAAGTAGAGACAATGTGCATAATTTGAGAAGAAACCTAGAGACACATTCTTCTTTAGCCACCTCTAACTTTTTCTAGTTCATGCCCATAGTTGACTGCTGCTTCTTTAGTAAAAAAAACTTGCTCATAGCCAAATTACATGATCTAATGGAAGAAACTTGTCTCTATAAAATTTGTGTTCTTGAAAATAAAGAATGTCAATAATTGATAAGGATGATTGATAGTAATTATATAGTATTTTGATCCTCTAAAAGTAATTCATATCTTGAATGTTTTGAATAATGATTGTGATCTTCATAACAAGTGAGTAAGAATGTTATTGAAAAAGTAAAGAGAGCCATAAATTTCCTCCAATCTTTTAGTCATTTTTGGTGTGTTATAAGAAAAATATAAGATTATCAACCTTTGTCTTTAGGTCAATTCAAAAATCTCTTGATAACATTGAAGCTAAAAGTCTATGAGCTTTTGAGTCTGAGGGGTGAAAAATCCTTTATTTTAGGGTACTAAGCTACTCTTTAAGCTATTTGAAAAATTACAAATGTAAGTGATCTAATATAAAGATGCCTAATAGGGTCATTAAAAGAAAATAGAGAATAGACACTATTGATGGAATTTATACTCCTCTTAGTTATTTAGTAGTGTGAGTTCTTTGATGAAGATGAATTCAAAAAAAATAGAGAGTGATAGACTAAAGAAGAGGTTTTGATTAAGCATCATATCTAAAATTAAGCCACTTTGTCTCTACCTAATCTATATTCTCTAATATAAAATCTTTATAAATATGACTAAGGTTGTCAAGGATATAAACTTTTGGTATAATTTTGGAAGATCTAGTCAATTTGGTATTAGGGTGGAAATTAGAGGCAAGAATATATCTTCAAAGTTGAGGAGGATGAATGTCAAATATGTATCATCTTTAACTATGACCATCTCTTCTAAGACTCAAATATCTTCATTGTGAGTCTAAAGAGATTCAATTTGTCTTATTGGCATTAGACCTTGCTTTGAAAAGGCCCATGAATCTTCTTTCTCCTACATGCTTTTTTCTACATATTCTTCTTTTACTTTGGAATCTTTCTTGAAGAATCTGAATTACATTTCCCACATTGTTGTATAGATGATTAGATTGGAATTCTTTAGCTTGCAAGTCATTGTCTCCTCTGGTATTTCTAGACTTACTAAAATTATTAAATAGGATTGTGGAATTTTAGCATGTTCCTACTAAGAAGAGATTTTAGGAGTAGTGTTATTTGTCCGTTCCTTTAGAATTGGTTTATTAGTAGAGCTTATAATCTCTTCTAATCTATTAGAGAGCCTTAGATTATATTTAATTAAATACTTAATTGAAAATTCAAATTTATACCAAATAAGATGTATGTAATAATCCACCAAGATAATGGCATTTTTCTTAGTATCAACATTTATTATAAAGAAGGAAGTCTTCCAATGAGTTGCTAAAATTAAGTCAATGCAAAACCTTTGATCTACTGATATAGAATTCTTTTTGTTACTATCCAATACTTTTCTAAGTCTACTAGCTATTCATGTAGCTACTTTAAAGAATTCATTTGGGACATTCTTAAAAATAACTCATATTGATACCTTCAACCCCGCATGATCCAAGGCATTAAAGCTTAGGATTTGAGATTGCAGGATATAAGTCTTCTATCAAAACTTATACAAAATAAGTATCAATATTTTTTGCATGGTCATTTGTTGGCAACTAATATTTTGAAAAAGCCTTTTTTCCTATATCATGTCATATTTCTATCCACCCACAACCTATTTTTTGCAATGATTTTATACAATATGTGATGGCTGTCAAGAATTACTTATTTTTTAGAAAGTATGCTATCATGATATACTTTTAAAGACATTCAAAATCTTTTTTTTATTACAACTTAGTCTACATTGACTTCCAATATATTAGTGTAGAAAAAAAAATCAATGCATCTTTAGGAAAAATTGTCAAGCACAACTTCTTTGAAGACAATGCAAGTGAAGTGGATCTTAGCATGTTTCTCCATGCTAGTGATTGCTTCAACAATCGTCAATGCATCTTCATGAAAAATTGTCAAGTACAACTTCTTTGACGACAATACAAGTAAAGTGGATCTTAACATATTTTTCCATGCTAGTGATTGCTACGACAAGTTACATCAATTTTGGAATGATAAGCTTGTGCAGTTTTGATTCTACTACTTTCTTGTTCCAAGCTTATGCATAGTCTCTGTTTGACTTAGATTATATGAGGACTATTGGGACGTGGGCCATTTTTGCTCACAAGAAATCAACATGCAAGGTTTTTCCTTCCATAATCACAAATCCTAATCCTATTTACAAAAATTTCAAACAAAAATATTACTAAGCTTTAGAATTGATAGTCACGTTAATCAAAGTTCACAAGATAGCTCTTTAAATACTTTTTACACCACAAAGCAAGTTGGATAAAATGATATATTCAAATGCAATGATACTTAGCATCAGTACATGTTAGACTTGTTACAAATGTAAAAGCTCTTCTTATGCCTCATTGTATTCCATAGTCATCTTTTAATTTTAATAGGTAGTCTACAACTTCCAAAATAAAAACAAAATTAGTTTTGTTTAACTCTTCCAACATCTATAATTGATCAATGATCTATAATTTTAACTTTAGCTATAGAATCAACAACTTTGGTAGATTCACCTTCTAGCCAAAATCAACAACAAAAACAACTCTCATATACTTTTAATAAATTGTAATAATATATGAATTGGATTGGATCTTCATGTGAATAAAAAGATATTTCATCTTTACTTTGCTAATTCTAACAATTGAATTTTAGAACTTGGACTCTAACCATTGTATAGTGTCTTCATGAATAAACTGAAATTGAAAGATACATGTTGACAAACTTGAAGAATGAAGAAGTATTTGAAACCACAAAGATTTTAGAACCTCCAATCAATATAAGAACGAGGTATATTCATGGTTTGATATACCAATAAATTGGTTGTTAATCAATTAAATTTGGATTTGTAAGCTTAAGGGTTGTATTAGTAGTATGCTTATGCTATCCATAGTATGAAGTTACTACTTCAAAATGTGTTGTATCTTGAGTTATCATTGATACTAGTACTTCTCCACTAACATTTTCTTTTGAAGTACATCTATGTTAATGTCAGAATACCTTAAATAGTATCGTGCTCCTAAACCAACCCATAGACCTTACTTAACCACCCTTGTACAAATCCAAAACTGCATGTTTTTTCTATAGAAAGATTCCAAATACATTCCAAATCCACCAATGATTAGCAAACTTTACAAGAATGAAGAGTGTGGCTTAGTGTGATGGAAGTGCACAATTTTGCTCAAGTCTACGACTTAGTTTAGGAATAAAATAAACTTTGATTTGATTTGATTTGATTTTTATCAATTCAACCACTTCTGTGATTTTATTTTATTTATTTTATTATTTTTTAGAGCTCATCAAAACCTTATTTCTCCACGCAAAACATTTTTTTTTCCAAAAAAAACCTTCCTAAGATAGCTAAAAAAAACCTTAAGTTGATGGTTAAAGGTATTTGAACTTTACAGAGTTTTTACAAATTCCTCAGAGAGCAAGATTCCTTTGTATCAAAAGCTGATAATTGAAACAGTGAAAATGCATAGTAACACAGTTCCATGTTGTATTAGTCTATGTCGCAGTAGGATTGCTTTCACGAGACATAGTCGTGAATGTTAGCACGTCCCTATGAACAATACTTGGCTGAATTGGACATGATCTTCTCCGCAAAGTTTATAGCCTAGGAATAATGTTGAGTTTGATTTACAAATCATTAACCTACCTGGTCCCTGAGCCCTAAACCCTGGTCCTAGTTGACGTAATTGATTTTGATTTGTTAATGGTTAATTATCTTTAGCCGTTTTCCGGATTACTAAAACCCTGCGGAATGACCCAATCGGTCGGGTCTTCCACTTAGCCGGTGGGTAAATGGCCAGCCCCGAATGTCACCGGATATTTCCGGTTACCTGTGCGCAGGGGACGAACGTGGAGGCACACGGGGCATATGCTACCGACACTGCGGCGTCATTGGCGGACGCACGTCGAGGTAGAGAGAGAGCGCATCAATCCCAGTCGCGGCACCATCCAACACGGTTGCCTCATTTGATGAACGATTCCGGAAATGCCATTTCTGAGCACTGCGCCGGTGTCACGTTTTTCCTCTGGGTTTGTGGGGATGTGGGCCGGGGTGGACCTGGACGCGGCTTTTGTCATGCGCGCGAAGCACCTTCGAAGATCGCCTCCCTCTGCATGTTGGGGTTGGTTGGTAGGTGCGTGAATGTGGGTGTGGGTTACTGGGTTTTGTGATATTTTGGAACACGCCGACGCTGTTATCGACGTCGTGAATGACGTAGTCTGGTGCCCCGGAGATTAGCCTTGCAGTGGCAGGGTGAGCATGATCGCGACTCTCTTTTGAGGCCTTTTCACTTTGTTTCTGTAGGTTTCGCGGAGAGTTTTGTGCGGTATATGAATGTGAGTTGGGAATGTTCACTTGAGTGATTGAGGAGGCTCATTGGAAAGTTTGGGAGGATTGCTAGGGTGAGGTGTGACCCTTATTTGATGCTCATTGAAGGTTGAGAGGGGGGGGGGGGGGGGTGTGACTTCTTTCGATGTGGGAGCGGCTAGGAGCCTATCAGGTGGGTGAAGTCTTGTTGTTTGGTAATTGGGTATGGATCGGAAGAGAATGATGGTTCTAGTGGTTTTCTTTTGATCCGATTTCATCGATGATAAAAAAAGAAACGTGGTTATAGGTGATAGAGTTAGGATCAAGGACACGAGTCGCTGTTGTAATGAGGGGACTTGTTTTAAGAAGTAGAAATATTCGTCGTGTTTTGGTAGAGTATCTAGTAAGAGAATCGCAATAAGAGTACTGGACACGGCGTTACAGTGCTTTATTCGAAATTTTCTTGAGGAGATTTTTGATTGTCATACCGAACGGGACGAACCAACAAAGTACTGTAACGCCTTGTCAATAGCAATATTCCAGTGCGATGGGGTTTCCACTCACTTAAAGATCTATTTATGCACTTGTGCTGAGGGATCTGTGAGTTTTTCTGAAGTCAGATCAGAACTGTACGGCAGTGGAACCCCAGATCCATTACTTTTGAATCCTGCATTTTGCTTTCGATTCGGAGTTACGCCTAGTGAAATGAGTGGAGTATCGTTTTCTTACTACAGTGGAAAGTGGTCTTTAGTACAGTGCTTATTGTTCATGAGTGCTATCTAAATGGGAGGCTTGAAATAAATTTAATGTCTCTCGAAGCAACGTTGGCCGTGTGCTCAAGCACTACAACTATGAAGTGATTTGTGTTGCGCAAACATTGCCAGCATATTGTGAAGTGCTTCAGACGATATAGTCAGGTTTTATATTCATTTGGTAAAATCGTGATACAAGTACTAAGATGCTGTGGTTCTGATCTGGACTTCTTTTCGGATATAGGGGAGGTCAACTTATTGGATATGCTTAGAATGCAGAGTACTTTTTACGGTGGCTAGGGATTAGGAAAAACTAATTATAGTTTAGTGTCTTTGCAGGTGAGATCAGGCTATCAGTTTACTGTTGAACAGTTGAGAGAAGTTTACCATGGCGAATTACTTGCTACATGGGACTTTGTATGTCCATATTCACGATGCCCAAAACATCGCGTCGGGAGAGCACAAGGCGAGTAGAACCCCTGGGTTTTTCAAAAAGGTTCGGATCACCAACATTTTTTTAACCCTTAAACGTCACGTCACGCCACATCTTCAACTTACAGATCAGCTGTGATGAAATCTTTTCGCACATATTCATTTGTTTAGCTTACATGAAATGTTGCAAAGTTATGTGAGATAATTTTTTTACATGTATAATTTCAGTTATTTGTGTAAACTTTTGTAAGTTCAATCGAACATAAATTGCAGTAGATGATGTTTCAAAATTTTACGACTTTTCGATATATTTTGGAATTTCCTTCACAGTTTTTAAGTTGGTTAGATTGCAATGTGACAAAATTTCATACAAATCGAAGAATTAAATATTCTACAATGGATATGACATCTGTACATTGGATTACTTTCTGTTCGTGGTGGCAAATATTGTTTCATGGCGTCGAATTTCCCACAGCAGACATTGTACTTGCTAAATTTTGACAGGGATGTCTTCATGAATTTTTTTCCCAATAAACGTCTAAGTAGAAAACCGTGCTGGAAACATTTTGATCGCCTATTCTGGACATTTGTGTTAAACGTCAACAATGACTTTGCATTGCATTGCACAGCATGGGAACAGTAGTATGTGTAGCGTGCGTGCTTTTAGGATTTTGGAGGATCCAACAGTCATCCAATTGCCTGCTTTTCGGTTGTTGAGGAGTGAAAACATCAACGGAATTTCTCAGTATTTTTTATTTTTTTTTTATTTTTTTTTATCAGTATGGTGCTAATAGAGCTAATCTTGTGGCTCGTCCTGGCGACGGACACAGTTTATTGCTTTGTGCAACGCGATTGAGATTGAACTTTATGTTGGCAGCTCATCGAGACCTCGGAAATGATTTTGGGTAGAGGACCCCCTCAGTACTACGCCACCGTAGATTTGGGCCCTACTAGAGTTGGGCGCACGCGTGTTTTGGCAACATCGAAAGATCTTAAAGATCCAGTATGGAACGAGACGTTTCACATTTATTGTGCCCATACGGTGTCACAAGTGGTAGTTTCCATCAAGGATGCTTCCATTGTGGGCACTACTGTTGTTGGTCGAGCAAAGCTTCCCGTGATTGAGCTTCTCTCAGGCAGGCGCTTTTCTTCTTTTCTTTTTCATGGCTGATTGTCTTGAAGCTGGCAGAATTGTCGCTAGAGTGCGCGACGTTATGACTATGTAACTCATTATTACTGCTGTTGCAGGTCAAAAGATTGATAGGCAGTATGAACTCGTCAATGATCACTTCGGCCCAATCAAGAATGCAGGGATTCGGTTTTCCTTGCAGTTTTTTGAGGCGAATCGTGATAAATATTGGGGGAGGGGTGTGCTGGACCCACTGAACCCTGGTATACCGTTCTGTTATTTTCCTCAACGTAAAGGTTGCCACGTGACCTTGTACCAAGATGCCCACATGACGAATAATTTCCTGCCTCCGATATACCTGGGCGACGGTCAAGTATATCAGCCACATCGTTGCTGGGAAGATATCTTTGAAGCAATTAACAACGCGCAGAGATTAATCTACATCACAGGCTGGTCAGTTAATACTGAGATCAAGCTGTGTAGAGATCCATGGAGGCCCAGACCGGGAGACGAAGGTTTGACAATCGGGGAGTTATTGAAGAAGAAGGCTGATCAGGGTGTTCGCGTGAACGTCATGGTTTGGGACGATCGGTCCTCGTTTTGGCTGCGTCAGACAGGTGTCATGTCAACCCATGACGAAGAAACGGCACTCTACTTCAGGGGCACGAATGTGAACTGCTTCCTTTGTCCACGGGACGCCGACAGCAACTTGACTCTACTGCAGAAATCACAAATCGGAGGTCTTTTCACGCATCACCAGAAGACCGTGATTGTGGATGCTGCTCTACCAGGGGCCAACCCTTTCTCCCCCGGACGCAGGATTATCAGCTTCGTGGGAGGTCTAGACCTCTGCGACGGCCGTTACGACGACCAGTATCATTCCCTGTTTCGCACTCTTGACACTGCTCATAACCAGGATCTCCATCAGGTGTTTACAGAAGCCTCTTTGGCTTGTGGTGGACCTCGTGAGCCTTGGCATGATATCCACTCCAGATTGGAAGGTCCCGTTGCTTGGGATGTTCTCTACAACTTCGAACAGAGGTGGAAAAAACAGGCCGGGCATCACAGAGAATCCGATCTTTTGCCCATCAAAGAGCTTTTGCCCCCTCCGGAGGCTGTCACCAGCGAGGAAGACCCGGAAACCTGGAACGTGCAGGTGTTCCGCTCCATTGATGCAGGGGCCGCATATGGGTTTCCGACTACTCCCGAGGGGGCTGCTGAGCTGGGCTTGGTGAGTGGGAAAGATATCACGATTGATCGCAGCATTCACGACGCATACATTAACGCCATCAGGCGTGCTCGGAATTTTATCTACATTGAAAATCAGTACTTTTTGGGTAGTAGTTTTGGCTGGGATTCTAAGCAAGAGGCTGGCGCGTTTAACCTCATCCCCATGGAGATCATCCGCAAAATTGTTAGCAAAATCGAAGCTGGGGAGCGCTTCTGCGTGTACATTGTGATACCGCTCTATCCCGAAGGCGTCCCCGACACCCAATCCGTGCAAGCAATTCTGGACTGGCAGAGAAGGACGTTCCAAATGATGTACAAAGAGATCGCGGAAGCATTGAGTGCGCAACGCATCATAGACCAGCACCCCAGAGAATATCTCACCGTGTTTTGTTTAGGAAACAGGGAGACGCAGCAACCGGGTGAGCTTGTGCCCTATAAGATCCCTCAAGACCCATATTACAGATCTGCTCAGGTTAACCGCCGCTTCATGGTTTACGTGCACTCCAAGATGATGATCGGTGAGTATACAACCTCTTCAGCCTCATCTAGATACTCTTGCTCACGCATACTCTTTGTGATTCTACATGTGCTAATGAACCCTTGACATTGTTCCCGCCTGCAGTGGACGACGAGTATATAATAGTGGGGTCGGCCAACATCAACGAGAGGTCCTTGAACGGTGCGCGTGACTCTGAGATTGCCATGGGGGCTTACCAGCCTCACCACCTTGCAACCTACAGACCTGCATTGGGTCAGATACACGGATTCCGAATGTCATTGTGGTTTGAGCACTTGGGTTGCTTGTACAATAATTTCCTGGAGCCACAGAGCGTGCAGTGCATCCGCCAAGTGAACGAGATAGCTGACAAGAATTTGAAACTTTTCCTGCAAGAGGAGGTGGTGGATCTCCCTGGACATCTGATGGCATATCCTTACTCCATTGGACGCGACGGCTCCTTGGACTCTTACCCGGGCTGTGAGCGCATCCCAGACTGCAGTGCCTTGGTGCTCGGCTGCACCGCCTTTACCCTCCCTGAGATTCTCACCACTTAGAAAAAGCTTTCCTGCCGAGGTTTGGAATTCCTCCCGGGATCTGGATTTCTCGAAAGCTAGTATCTATCTCCGAAAAACAGCGAAATTGGGTACTCTTGTGAATGAGGAGCATTGTCCAGGTTGTCGTTATTCATTCAGTAGCTGTGACGAGAACTCTGGCAGTGAGCAGAATTACAACCTGTGATGACATTATTACTGTGTAAGTGTGTAGAAGAAATCATAATTTTTAATAGAAATTCAACAGTGTAAGTGTAGAAAAAATCATAATTTTTACTTAATGGCTAATTTACTATAACCAAGTAAAATCTTACAACCATAAGCTTTCTCTTTTAAAAACACTAATAAGACTTGAATAGAGAAGAATGTCAAGTCAAGAAGACCTCTCTATCTAAATCCTCAAAATTTCATTGACAATAATAAAGTTGATTAACATGGAACATTAAATGGATGGAAATCCACTAACTAAAGCAAACTATATTTTATGACAATTGTTGTACGAATAAAGATTGTCATATACAATAAATTGAGTGTTAGAAATCATGTATACTTCATGCATACAAACAAGTCCTTACTTGCTGCTTGAGCTAATGAGAAGCTCTACTTATCAACTAAGATGACAATACACACACAATCAAAGATGATTGCTATAGTGATGTTAAAATTACATACAACTAAGCCAATGTTGTGGCAATTAGACTACAAAAACATGTTGCAAACTTAATAGAAGAAGTCATTGACTTTTGTCAACAATTACAAAATGGCTACAAGATTTCTTAAAATGAGAATAAATCCAATCTTCTGAAAGAAGAGTAAATAGTAGTATTGAGTATGCCATATGCCACCTATGTTGATACTAGTCACATAATAGTATAGTAGTAACTTCTTTCTCCTTATCACATACAAAAATCCATATTTGACAATTATTAGTTGAGGATGTACAAAATAATTAACAAGAAGATGACAAGGAATACAATTTTTTGAATGCTCTTAGTACTCATGTCCATCTTTGCCTTCAAGCAACAAAATCTCATTCGGCAATAAATCCTTTCCACAAAGAAGTGTGCGCTTCATCTTGATATCAAGTATTATAGGCACTTCACATTATAAATATAAATAATCTCCCTTAGAAAATCATTGCAATTAAGGTCAATAAGCTCTGCTATACATGCAAATATATTATAAAGTATTATAATATTTAACAATAAATAAGTTCTTTATTGCTATAGACATGGCCTTCTTAAAGAACTTTGCTTGATCATGTAGATATTGAGTCTAAATATTATAGCCATTTAAGTCCACAACTAGAGCTAGTTTTTTACATTTTTAGTTTAATATTATCAAAAGTCCAAATAACACCACTATACATCATCTTATGTGTCAAGATTGCTTCTAATCCTATTATATCGTAGACTATGTTCAATTAAAAAGATCTAATAACATCTAAATGTTGAAGTAAGTTAAATTAATTTTTGCTTCAATATGTCAAATGCCTATTTTTGCTTATAATTTCAAGTTCATAGATGATCCTTATATATGAAAATATTCAAAGACTTGGAAATCAAGAAAAAATTCGTGACAAATCATTGTTAGTAATTTATTAAGCCAAAAAAATCCTTAAGTTGTGAAACATTGATTGGTGATGAGTTTTTTTGCAAAGCATCTATTTTTACTTGTTGTAGTAAAAATCTTACTATATCAAATAATTCCTTTGGCATTGGTATTAGGTTCTAATTTACTTTAGTCTTATAATTAAGTAGAGAATAACCACTACATATTTTCTTCTTGGTCCAATTGCCAAAAACATCCTTCATAGAAGGCATAATCATAATATAAGCATACTTACTATTAAAAAGTTCAATCAAGCATGCACTCAATAATTCTTGACTATGAATTTGGATGCCTATATTCTATGAGATACAAAGTCTTTAAGGTCGTCAAATGAATGGATGATCATCTTTTAACAAAATATGAATAGATGTGCCTCCATAGTCTTAAGGATCTTCAAGGCTAAAGACAAAAAAAAAAAAAAAAATCAATTAAAACATATAAAAACTCATGTCTTTTGCACTTTGGCACTAGTAAAATGTGGCCTTAATTCCAATGGCCAACATCAAACTCTATGGTCTTTTTCTTCACTAATAGAAGACCATTGCATGCCAATATGACATTTAACAACTAATTTGTAGAAGAGACAATTTATGTGCCTTCAACATCTTCACTTACAACCAAATGAGGAACTTAATCACTGTTATCTATCTGTGAATTGGCAATGTGAATAGGACATAGAGTACCATGCAAAGACACTTATGAGAGCACCTTATGAGCATCTACTATTACAAAGTCTATAGCCAAAGCAACAAAAATATGTTAAGTATGCAATTCTTTCATTGTGAGTTACTTCAAGCAAAAAAACAACTCAATTTCTTTACTCTTAATGAATTTAGGTTCTATTGTCTTTTGACCATTTCTCTCTAACATCAAAGTAAACAAATAGCCATTATGATGTTGCTTGATATTAAGACATATATCAAAAATTCATACCAAAATTTTGAGGTCTATAGTATGGCTTAAAAGAAAGTAAGGTTGCTTCTTTATGATATTATATACAATCACACTATTAGTCAAAAAACCTATAGTACACTATTGTGATTGTTCGTTTTACTTATTCCAAATTAATCTAATGGGAATAAATCCGTATAAGGAGATTCGAACATGGGGAATGACTAGTTGCTTAAGCGTTCACATTAGGGTCAGACAATCAATTACCTCCTGAATGTACCGTCTCACAACTATCAATTATCTCCTGAATGTACCGTCTCACAACTATCAATTACCTCCTGAATGTACCGTCTCACAACTATCAATTACCTCTTGAATGTACCGTCTCACAACTATCAATTACCTCCTGAATGTACCGTCTCACAACTATCACAGCGATGGCACCCTAATTAACTTCTACATCTCCTATATACTTTCCCCTGATTCTCCAGATTCTAATCGCAATTCTGTAATTAACCGCTTTTAAGAACTAAATCACTCATCCATCTTCTTGAATTTCCTATTATATGGACTATTAATATATTTTACCAATATCTTTCAAAAACAAATTAATATCTATTCTACAACTATTTCTTATATGCATTAGATTTTATATAACTTAAAGAATTAACATTCTAAATTATATTGGATTTAATTACAAAAAATGTAAATAAATTTGGATATATTTTAAATGTAAAAAATATGCTATTAAGTACTTCCATCTTTATATTAAGATAAGAAGTAATTTATAGATATATATATTAAATACAATCTTTAGACATACATTATGGACCTTTGCTAAGTATTATATAAGATTCTATCTGCATGATTCCTATTTTAGCTTAAGAAACTTGATTTTCAACACATTGTCTTTTTTGGCAAGTAAGCTCTTCATATTGTGATTACATTGCTTCTTTGGAAAATATTACGTAGTGTACTTAGATTCTCTACAATGTAAATATAAATCTTTTTTATAATAATGAGTCTTTTTTTCTTTAGAAAAGAGTTTAAAATGTATCATGTCAATTTGTATAGGCTTTGACTTTGATAAATAAGCTTCTAAAAACTTAGAAAGTATCACCATGACTTGAGTTATATCTCTCTAATCAAATCTTTTTTCTTGATTTTTTTCAAAGAATTAATTATCATATGCAATGGCTTAAGCAATAAAATACTTCAATGAATATGGTTTCAACATTATCAACAATAAATCTTTGTCATTGTCTTTCAATCTATATCAAAATTGATTGATAAAGACTTTGTCATTCTAATCTACATTATAGCAAGGTTTTGAAATTCAATAGCATATATGGTAGTTGAATATGAACTTTGTTGTAGAGATACAAGCTTGATGTCTATTACTCTTTTTTGATCATTTTTTTCAAATATAGCCATAAATACTTCCTAGAATGAATTCAAATTATAGAATAGTCTTGAATCTTTTTCTATCAAAGGTACAAACTAAAAAAAAGTACTTCCAAAAAAAATTGCTCCTATAATTTCGACTTGAATAAATCCATGAAAGTATTGATAAAGATGAATTATTAGATAGAACATTATTTTTTGTAGAAATCCTCAAAATTTTGATTTTGTTCCATCAAACTTCTTATTCATACTTATCTTTGCTTTCCTTATACTTGCAATAGCAAGATTTTTTGGATTTAGTTGTGAATTTAATCAACTTATTTCTCTTAATTACATAACTTCTTAGCATAGACTTTGAACTTTATTATTGATTTCTTTCATAGGCATAGAAATAGTATCTCTATGATTCACATTGAAAATACTTAAGATTTCTATTCTGAGAGTATTTTTAAGCTTGTAAAGTTTTGTAATAGTTACAAATCTATTTTTACTTCTATTGAGAATAGCATTCATAATTTTTTCTTCTATAAATCACTCAAAAACATTCAAAAAGTTAAATCAGAGGAAGATAATCCACAACTTCTAATATCAAATGAAATTTTTTATAAAAAAAAATATATATATTTTTTAAAAAAAAACATCAATGTTAAAAAATTATAAATAAGTTTAAAGATAGGTGATCTATAACCTTCAAAAATACGATAGTAGAAGTAAATTAATCTACTCAGTTTTAGAACAAAACAAGTATAATAAATTATAATTCTTGTCAAATTTCTAAAGTCATGAATCTCAAAAAATTTAAAGATCAAGATATTCTTTTGATAGTTAAAAATATTAGTTAATTATTTAAAAATGGTGTAATATTAAATTAGAATGACTATTGCCAAAGATAAGAAGATTAAAAAGCCTTGAAATAAGATTAAGAACTAAAAAGACATTAATAAGAGTAAAGAAGGCTTCACTTTTACATCCATATATACTATCTAATTAGGAGCTATATGGTGACATTCTATACGACCTTTGATACATGTCTAAATTACAAGCAATATTTTAGTGAAATTCTTCTTATCTTAATATATTAAATACAATCTTTAGATATGTATGATCCACCATCAATCTTTTGTAAGTTTTTTGATAGGTTTGTCATTTTTTATTTGAACATCTTAATCTATACTAAGAATATTAAAAACCATGAACTTTATGTTCATTGTATATTATAAAAACTAAGACATATAGGATTACATGTGAAGATAAAAAATTATGTACTTTACATTACGTAAGTTGGCTTCTTAGGATATATCATTTCAAATGATGGCCATATAATATATTCTCAGAAGGTCGAGACTATCGTGGACTAGAAGATTTCAAAAAAAATTAGAGATGTATAATTTTTTTTGAAATTTGCCACTTAATACTAGATCTTCATCAAAAACTTTTTTCATATTGCAGCCTCTCTTATACACTTCATATGTAAAGATAAACTTAAATAAAGTAAAGAAGTTGAACCAACTTTTAAAGCCTTAAAGATAGTATTTATTTTGTATC